ATTAGTTTGTTTTAAATGGAAGAATCTTTGCTATATGTTTCCTAAAAGATACCAATGTAAGCTGGGTGCTGGTGGCTCATGCCTCTAATCCTATTCAGTAGGCTGAGAGTTGAGGACTGTGTTTCAAAGCCAGCCTGGGCAGGAAAGTCTTCGAAACTCTTATCCCCAATTAACCACCAGAAAACCAAAAGTGGTGGTGTGGCTCAAGTAGTAAATGTTAGCCTTGAGCACAAAAGCACAGGACAGCACTTAAGCTCCAAGTTCAAGCCCTAGGACCAGCATATACACCAAAAAAGACACACACCTAAAATAAAACAACAAGAAATGGTAGGACAAATACTGATGCTCCACTAGGCCTCTAGCCCAACCAAAGCACACAGGACATCTGTATTTGAAAACACTTTTGAGGTGATAGAAATGCTGAGTCATGTTTAATGCTACCAAAAGGACAGTGCAAAGAAGCTTTAAAGCAATGAGAGGCAAGTTCCATATTGATCAAGGGTAGCATCCACCAACAAGACAAGAATCAAAACCTGTAATCCTAGCTACTCAGGAGGCTGAGATCTGAGGATCAAGGTTCAAAGCCAGCTCCGGCAAAAAATTCCCCATAAGACTTTTATCTCCAATAAACTACTTAGAAAAAGCCAGAAGTGGTGCTGTGGCTCAAGTGGTAGAGCACTAGCCTTGAGCACAAAAACGCTTAGGGACAGCGTCCAGACCCTGAATTCAAGCCCAGGGACCAGCAAAAAAAAAAAAAAAAAAAGACATGAACCAGGTACAGAAACTTACATATTATATAGGTATCTAAAGAAAAATCCAAAAAGAAATCACATGCTATTTATAGACCATAGGAATCTGTGTACATTGTCATAAATATGTTGGTTATCCAGAAAGAATGAATCAAATTAAACTATCTACATACATTTTATATAAAACAACTGTATTTCTAAGTACTAACAGTAACATTTCAAAATGAAATTAAAGCACCTAAGTCTATTTGCAATAACATAAAGAAAAAATAATTAAAATAATTTAATTAAAAAAGTGACATACTGTGAATCCTTTAAAAATATTGTTGAGCAAAAAGAATTAAAAGACCCAATTACATGAATTCTTTATTTTTAAGTTCTATGGGTCAATAATATTAAGAGGGAAATAATCCCAAACTGACATATATCAAAGCAATTCCTATAAAAACAATCCCAGCTGAAGCCAAGTTCCAGTGGCTTACACTTGTAATCCTAGCTATTCATGAGACCGAAATCTGAAAACTGAGGTTCAAAGCCAGCAAAGGCAGACTAATCCTTTAGAATCGATCTTCAATTAACCAGCAAACGAAAGATGGAAAAGGCAGAGTGTCAGCTATGAGCAAAAAACCAAAAACCAAAACCAAAAACCAAACCCTGAGAGCATGAGGCTGGGGTTCAAGCCTCAGTATGGGTGCCAAAAATTACACTGACTGGCTGGAGACATTGTTCTAGTGCGATGCCGTTACTTCAAACCTTAGTACCACTAAAAGAAAAGGAACAAACTGGAATTGTGGCACAAGTGGAAGCCTACCTGCCTGTCAAGAACAAGGCCCTGGCTTCAATCTCCACAAAAACAGGAAGCATTATTGCTTTACTTTGATTACTTTCTCTACAAGAAATTTAAATGATTTATTCCAACCCTAACCCCATCCCCATCGTATCATGTTTAGAGAATTGTATGGGTATGCTGTATAAAATCTTTACAATTCCCATGGTTTTCTTTTGAAATCTTTGAGTTAAAACTACATTTACAGGGCTGGGAAGGTGGCTCAGTGGTAGAGTGCTTGCCTTGCATGCATGAGGCCCTGGGTTCGATTCCTTAGCACCACATAAGCAGAAAAAAAAGCCGGGAGTGGCGCTGTGGCTCAAGTGGTAGAGCGCTAGCCTTGAGCTGAAGAGTTGAGGGACAGCGCCCAGGCCCAGAGTTCAGGCCCCACGACTGGACCAAAAAAAAAAAAAAAAAAACCAACTACATTTACATATGGTTTCATTGTGGTATTTCTATGCATGCCTATGGTGTGCTTCTAGCAGTTGAGGGTCAAGGGAAAAGGGAGGGTGATGGTCTGTTGGAAGGGGTAAACATTTTCAAAGTACATTATATGGATGGATGAAAATGTCATAATAGGGAAGTGGAGCTGTGGCTCAAGTGGTAGAGTGCTAGCCCTAAGCAAAAAAGCTCAGGAGCCAGGCACTGGTGGCTCATGCCTGTAATCCTAGCTACTCAGGAGACTGAGATCTGAGGATCACGGTTCAAAGCCAGCCCGGGCAAGAAAGTCCGTGGGACTTTCATCTCCTGTTAACCACCAGAAAACCGGAAGTGGTGTGGCTCAAGTGGCAGAGCACTAGCCTTGAGCTGAAGAGCTGAGGAACAGTGCCCAGGCCCAGAGTTCAAGATCCACAACCGACAAAAAAAAAAAGGTCAAGAAGATTTGCCCAGGCCCTGAGTTCAAGCCCCAGGACTGGCACAAACAAAAGTTGTAATAAATATCACAATGAAATTATAAAGAAAAGTGATGGAAAATTTAAAAAAGAGTAATAGAGTGTATTATGACTAATGTAAGCATGTATAGAAATATTACAATGAAAGCACTTGGATATCATTAATATATGCTTATCTAAAAACATTTTACAATAGCAAGCAAAATATAGAAACTGAACACCCCGATATATGCTGATGGCTATAAATTCGTGGGAATAGTCAAAACATGACATGCCATATGCATTAAATTAAAAAATTCAAGTATCACTTAAGTTAGCAATTTCAGTTCTCAGAATTTGTCCCTTAACAGAAATTCTCAAATACAGTCAATATAAATACAAAGTAGTGATTATAGCTAATATGGAAAAACAGCACTGCCTACAACTAGAAATTATGATGATATGATTATGGAAACTGTAGTACAGTCATACTATGAGATATTGTAGGTACAGATGTGCACAAAAGATGTCTACGTTGTTAAGTGGAAATAGGAAACCATGAAAGGACACACTATTTCTTTTTCATAGCTGCACAGTGGACCACAAACAGTTGGGAATTTGGAGAAGGCAACTGAAGTAATAGGAAAAGTGAGTGGTTATACACTCTAATCCCCTATTTTATTATTAATAACTTCAATCACACAGCAAACGTGAAAGGAGTTTACGTGAACAGCAATGTAGTTTCTACATCAGTGACCACTATTTTGCTGTATATGGCTCTGATACTTTTAACATAATAAACTTCTAAATACACAGTTTGGGTTTTTCTATGTCCATTACCCTTTGCCATAAAACACAGCTTTGATAAATGGATATTACTTCCTTTTAAAAAATCCTAGATAGGGGATGGGAAGGTGGCTCAGTGGTAGAGCGCTTGCCTTGCATGCCTGAGGCCCTGGGTTCAATTCCCCAGCACCACATAAGCAAAAAGAAAAAAAGCCAGAAGTGGTGCTGTGGTTCAAGTGGTAGAGCGCTAGCCTTGAGCTGAAGAGCTGAGGGACAACGCCCAGGCCCAGAGTTCAGGCCCCACGACTGGACCCAAAATAAAATAAAATAAAATAAAAAATCCTAGATAATTTTAGAAATTATGAGCTCTATTTTCAATTCTTGAGGTCTTCAATTTTTCCCTTACATATTTCATTGTGAAAACAGAAATAAACCACATTTGGAGTTGTTATTTACTGTTGCTTTATTCTAGTGCTTAGAATAAAATATTTTCTTTAACCCTGGAAATAAGTATTTCAATTTCAAAAACTTAGTTATTTATACGATCTTTGGTACAAGTTTGAGCAATATTTTCTTTGCCCTCAGTGGCTATTATTACTATGTTTACATATTTTGATGTACGTTGCTTTTTGCTTTTGTTATTTTGGCTTTTAAGTTTTTTTTTGCTTGATCTGTGGTTTAACATTGTGTTGAAAAAAGGACCGAAGAGCAACAAACATAGAACATTACAGATTTTCCTGGTATTTTTTCTTATTGTTTTTTGTATTTAATTATTTTCCCCATGCCACATGCATGTTCATGCGTATAGCAATGCCATTCTTCTTAGTTTCACCTGTTAGGAAAGCAATAATATATTTTGAGTAGTTAGTTGTGACACCCCAAAATTGAACTTTCTTAATCAATTCTGTGTGTAGCAAAGAAGGAACAGAAATCGAGAATTTGAAGCCTTTGCACAAAATCCCGTACCTTCCAAACGTGATAGTTACTCAACTCTTTGCTTTAAAAGACATAAAAAGTGGCGTTTTGCTGGATGGAAATATTTAAGGAATAAATAAGGGAGCATCATTTTGGAGCAAAGGTCAAAGCATGCAGACTACAAGTGGAAGTTTTTATGTACAATTGAAACTTACACGCTCGGCAACCGATGGTTACATCGTTACATTTCTATAACTGAAATGGCTAGGTCACGTAGAAGGAAGGCACGCTCGCTGGAGGAATATGGATTCCCCCTCCCCCCACCAACAGTGTCTTTTCCAGGTTGAATTTAGGATCTGCTGAGGCACTTCATGAAGAAACCAAACCATGACACCAATCAGACAAATTTCACCAAGAAGCCTCTCAGTAAAATAACATAAGACTAAATAAATAAAAAAATAAATAAAACACAGGATGACCCATTGCAACAATGAGACTCACAAGACACTATGTTGGAAATGAACTCTACAACTTCGCGGGGGAGGAGTTGGGGGGTGGGGAGGGAAGGGTTAGTAGGAGAAAAACAAAGGAGGGGGTAACAATGCTCCATAGGAAATATGCTCATTACCTTACTCATGTAACTGTAACCCCTCTGTACAGCATCTTTACAATAAAATAAAATTTAAAAATAAACAAATCAATAAAAATCTCAAAACCTAGCTTCCAACTTGTTCCACCGCGGCTTGAAAGGGACCAGAGACTCTCCAGAATCATACTCATTTCCTTTGCCATTATCCCAAGTTCTGAACCGCCACTTCCCCAACTCTCCCAACATCCCCGCTAATTGCTTACGTTTAAAATTGTAGTCTTCAGGTTGCTTGTTGGTTAGCCAGATGTCTCCGTAGGGATCTTCATTATTCCACAAAGCCAAATAATGACTGTGCTCGCCCCTCAAAGGCCGCTCGGGTTTCTTCTGGTGCTCGCTGTTTCGGAAGGGAATTTCTTCGAGAGAAATATCATCTAACGCCTCCCCGCAGTGGACGCCGTCGATGCAAAGGATCCCCTGGCCTAAATCTTCCTCGTTGTAAAGACACGACACTCTAGAAATGCTCATTTTGATGCCAACTTTAAGAATATTCTGACGAACCAGACAGTTGAGACTGGTATCGAGGCAGCACTTTTCCTGGTACACGCCGTCGGAGATGGTCACATCGTAGCAGTAAACGGGAGGCTTCGGCCGCGTGTCCCGGCGATCGTACTCTAACAGGTACCTCTGGACTGCCAGTACGGTGACGGGCACCACCTCAGAGGGGCTCACACACATGCCAGGTGACCGTACAATCTGTTGAAGAACCTTTTGGATCCATGAGTTGGGCTTTTGGGCACCAGCCTTTCGGATCACCACTCCTGGGACTCCAGTCTGCTTTTTCTCAGGGTTTTGCAGATAGGATCCAACGCGACCTCTCTCCTCCGACATCTTGAGATAAATGAAAACTCCACGTGCTACTATGCCCCGTCCCAAACTAAGAGCCGAGAAACAGTGCGCGTAGCTCCAAGAAGCCTCCGCCAACTGCCCTGGGCCCGCCCAGTAGCAAGGTTTCAAAGAGGTTGCGCAAGCGCGCCGCGTTCTGGCCACGCCCCTCTCCTCGGCTTTCCGCTGGGGATTCGGAGGGATTTCTAAATAGTCCCACGCACCACATTACCACCCATAGTCCTATCAGAAGCTCACGAGACTATCTTTGGGGGGAGAACGGAGAGTCTTGCCAGGGAGTTGCGTAGGGGAGAGAACCTTGATCATCTCGGTTCCCAAGGCACAAGAGAAAAAGGTGAGGAGCACCACGGACTTCCCTACAAAGTAGAGTGCCTAGAGGGATGCGAAAAGTAAAAACGGCAGAAGTCACAGTCTGTACTTATTAAGCTCAAGCAATTCAAACTTTGGATTTGGAGCTGGCACATTAAGTTAATTGATCATTGGTTAATATGCCTGGCTATGATAACACCAGCCTCATATATTGCATGAACAAAAACGCATAAGTTGTGCACATTCCCTAGCACAAAAAGTCCTCAGTAGTGAAAAGTCCTGAGTTCCAATCCCAGAACAAAAGAAAGATCGCAGTGAATGTCAACTGCTATGGCAATTACTATTACCATAATAGCCTATAGTGGCTCCTTCAGTACACGGTATAGAACTTACTAGTTAACTGCAAATGAAGATTTAAAAAATACCATTCTTGGGCTGGAAAGGTGGCTCAGTGGTAGAGCGCTTGCCTTGCATGCTCAAAGCCCTGGATTCGATTCCTCAGCACCACATAAGCAAATAGAAAAAAGCCGGAAGTGGTGCTATGGCTCAAGTGGTAGAGTGCTAGCCTTGAGCTGAAGAGCTGAGGGACAGCGCCCAGACCCAGAATTCAGGCCCCACGACCGGACCCCCCCCCCCCCCAAATACAGTTCTCTAGGTAAAGAGCCAAATTTGTATGAATTTTTTGGTACAATATTCATCAAGTCCTGAGCGCTGTTGCTGAGTGCTTTTGCTCAATGCCGGAGCTTTACTACTTGATCCACAGCTCCACTCCTACCTTTCTTTTTGATGATTAGCTGCAGAGGAGATTCTCATGAACCTTCTTGCCTGTAGTGACTTTTACCCTCAATCCTCAGATATCAGCCTCCTGAGTAGGTAAGATTACAGTACTGAATCACTGGTGCCCCTTTTAGATGAAAATGTACCTAAAAATACAACTCCTCACTTAATAGAGATAGGATACAGCATTTCAAGAAGAGCATTTCTTTAAAAAAAACTTAGCATGTTACTTATATAATGTAGATGAGTAAAATTCACCCCTTATATACTCCTTAACTCCTCCTCCCTCTTCCTTTTTAACTGGGATTTCTTTTTCTTGCCTTGACCATACTTGGTCCTAAACTCAGGGCATGGGTGTTGTCCCTTGGTTTTCTCTCCTCAGGGATAGCACCCTACCACTTCAGCCACAGCTCCACTTCCAACTTAAAATTTTTATTTTTATTAAGTAATTGTACAAAGGGGTTCCAGTTCCACTTCCAGCTTTTCTGTTACTTAATTGGAGAAAAGAAAAATCAAAATGAAGGTTTCCCATAACAGATGAGGCAGATAGAAAGATAGGCAGATAGAAAGAAGACATTCAATAATCACCATAAGACATGGTAAACAATTTAAAACACAAATGATTAAGAAAACTTGTTGTAAACCAATATGAATGTGGGAGATGGAAACAAAAAATGATAAGGCAAATAATCATATAGACCTTATAATGCTTGCATTAATGTTTGTGACTGAAGAAATAAATCCCACAAGGTCTAGTGTGGCCTAATCCTCAGATCTCAGTCCCTTGAGTAACTAGGATTACAAATGTGAGCCACTGGCACTGAGCAAGAGTTCCTTTTACTAAGTGTCCAGAGCAATTCTGTCTACCTTGTAGCCTCTAAAATCGCTTTTCCATATACTTATGGACGTTTCACTGGATTTATTTACCAACCAACATGTAGGCATCAGTTACGCAGTTTTATTGAATACAATACTAGGATCTGAAGCATAGCTGTACTTTTCAACAGTGCTTTTCCAAATACAAAAGTCGCTTGCAGTTAAAATCCCATACCAGTTTTGCCTCATGACTATACTGTCCACTTGTAATTAATGCTAGGACAAGAAGCACTGGCTCTTTCCCAAGGCATGCAAACACATTGCACTAAGTAATGCAACAACCTGGAGCTTCACAAAGTTTAATTTTCATGAGACTTAACTAGTCATCAACAATCTGGTTGAAGGGTGATACACTATTACCAAAATCTAACTTTTTCAAGGCCTTTTTTCTCCCCAAGAGTGTGGTCATAAGTTGCTTCATGTACTCGTTATGTTTTAATTTGTGCCAGTCCTAGAGCTTGAACTAAGGGCCTAGGTATTATCCCTTAGCGTTTTTGCTCAGGGCTAGTACTTGACCACTTGAGCCACAGCTCCACTTCTAGCTTTTTTTGGTACTAACTGGAGATAAGAGTCTCATGAACTTTTTTGCCTGGACTGGCTTTGAACCATGATTCATTTGTGAGCCAATCCCACCCAGCTCTCATGTACTCTTTCGTTTTTCTTTTTTTTTTTTTTTGGTCGGTCGTGGGGCTTGAACTCTGGGCTTGGGCGCTGTCCTTGCGCTCTTCAGCTCAAGGCGAAGGCTCGAACGCTCTACTGCTTGAGCCACAGCACTACTTCCGGTTTTCTAATGGTTTATTGGAGATAAAAGTCTCACAAACTTTCCTGCTCGGGCTGGCTTTGAACCGAGATCCTCAGATCTCAGCCTCCTGAGTAGCTAGGCTTACAGGTGTGAGCCACCGGCGCCCGGCTTCATGTACTCTTTCTTACTGGTTTAGTACCTCCACCAGGACCCCCTAAATAATAAAATTTATGAATTCTAGTTTTGTACCATTGTATTTTTGGATCCTTCCAGATAATTCCTAAAAGGCCTTCTTTACTTCCTTCCATCCCTCCTTCCTTCCTTTTTGTTGAACTAGGGTTTGAACTCAGAGCCTCACTCTAAGGCTAGGCAGACACTCTACCAGTGAACAATGTCCCCAGCCCTTTTAGTTTTTTTTGGCCAAGGTTGTCCTTCATCTGAGATCCTCCTATCTATGGCTTCCTGCATAGAGGGAATCACAGGTATGTAGCACCATGAGAAGCCCAAAATGTGGATTTTTTTTTATGGTGACGCTTTGCAATAGGATAATTACTAGAACTGGCAATAAGTAGCATCACCTTTTGGTTTTACACTTCTATTTACAGTAAAGATGAATGTAAGACCCCTCTGTACAGTATGTTCACAAATAAAAAAAATAAAAATTAAAATAAAAAAAAGAATGTAAGGCAGCACATATGGAGTCTTTTGTATTATTCTGTTGACAAGCTGTTATAGTGTACATCACATCTACTTCAGTAGTACTCACACTTATAGAAACGGCATTATTAAGCACTTGCTTTAGCATCAAATGTGCTTCACAATAACAGAATAAGGATTTGACTTTCAGAGTCAATAATCATTTTTTCTCCTTTTCCATATGGCAGGCTTCTAATAGTGCTCTCCATAGGTTAAATTGGTAAGGGCAGGCAAAACAGTATTTTATAAAGTGGGTATGTTCTAAGATAATCAAAAGACTAAATCTGTAATGAAATATATTTTTGTAGTCCAATGAATTTGGTGCAAATATCAGTCACAATGATTTTCCTCATTACTAAAATTTTACTACTTTTAGTAGTTCTGGTTGTTGAAAACTGTTACTTCATATGAGTACAGTGCTTAACTGAGAATCTGGAATGTAGTAAAAGTTATAAAAATGCTAACTACTGCTGCTATTATTCTAAAAGCAAGACAAAGCCATAACAAAATAATAGAATGTTACAACTGTAGAGAGCCACTAGGTATCCCTTATATAATGCTTTTCAAACTGTGGGTTGTAAAAGATTAATGAGGTTACCAGTTCAAGTTATTGAGTCACCACTAGCAATTAAAAACATGGAAATGAATAACTCAGAATATTTCTGTAATAAGGGTGAGAATTGCTTCATAAAATTTTTGTTTCACATTTGTGACATATAGGTGGCATTTGCTGTGAAGTGAATTTCTTATGATAGCTTCAATCCACAAAGGCTTAAAAGCCACAAGTATAGCCCAATCCCCTTTTATTACAAATGAATTAGTTCAGGTATTAAAAGGGGACTAACATGACCCAAGAACACACAATGAGAAGTAACAGAGCATCGGAACTACCAATATTCTGATTACAAAGCCTTGAAAATGTCTTAGATAGGTGCTGGTCATTTACAACAGTGATCCTAACTACTTAGAAGAATGAGATCTGAGGATCTCATGCTATTCAAAGGTAGAATCCTCTGAGAACCCAAGTAGAAAAGTCTATGAGACTCCATCCTCAATTAAGCAGCAAAAGCCTGGAATTGGAGGCATGGCTCAAGTGTCAGTGCACTAACTGTGAGCAAAGAAGTTGAGCAAGTAGTGCTTGATGGCTCATACCTGTAATCCAAGCTACTCAGGAGGCTGAGACCAGAGAATTGTCATTTAAAGCCAGCCTGGGCAGGAAAGTCCATGAGACTTTTATCACCAATAAACTACTCAGAAAAAGCCAGAAGTGGTGCTGTGGCTCAAGTGGTAGAGTGCTAGCCTTGACAAAAAGAAGCTTAGGGCCAGGCCCTGAGTTCAAGCCCCAGGATTGGCAAACAAACAAAGAAGTTGAGTAAGAGTGTAAAGCCCTGAGAACAATCTCCAGTACTGGATATTTATATGAGAACATCAATTATATGGGAAAATAAAAATTTAAAAACAAGTTTACTATCACTATCATGTTTCAGTAGAAATTTACAAAATGAATACTACCATACTTCATGGTGTCTCAGAAGTTATTTTCAGAAGCCTCTTAGAATGACATCAAATTTAAAATGAAAAATGA